TACCTAACAAAAGCAGGTCGAATATTAAAATAAGATTTAAAACAAACTTCCCTAAATGATATTTCAACTTAACTCTGCTTGCTAAATCCCTACCCAAATAAGAAGGTTTTCTAGCACTTCTGGAAGACGCTCAAACTTAGGCTTTGGTAGGCCTTGCAGGGGAGGGAGCCCCAAACCTGGGGGTGACTACTGGGAACCACCTCCCAGGGGTTTTTGCTGGGCAGACTTGGCACACTTCTGGTACTTGCCCGAGGTTGCTTTTGGCTGACCTTAGGAATGAAGATGGGGCATCTCCCTCTGGGTATGTGGGGCCCAGACTGTTTAGGGTCTTATGAAACCATCACCTTAAGAAACCATTCAATGTTTAAAGGGAATTAAGACTACAACATCTTAACTTCTTTCCCTTTCCTTCCCCCCAACCCCCTCTACTGTTGTCCATGAGATTTTAAACAGAGCAGTTCAATAAATATTTAGGAAAGCACGAGGTGGAATATCACCTTGGAACCAAGCAGGCAAGAAAACAGCACCTAGGTAAGTATCTAGGTAAGTTTGTGTATAGCAACCCCCTTTCCCAGTCCCCTTTCCCTTCATGGTATACACATCATACATGCTCCTTTCCCCTACTTTACATATATTTCTTATGGTATTTAGTTCTAGTCCCATGGGGGCAAGGCACTTTTGAAAATAAGGAGAAAAGGATTGTGCTATGTTGTTATCAGGAGGGTGATTTGAGAACAGGGCTGTCCAGCTGGCAGCCTATGGGCCACATGTGATCTCTAAGGGGATTACTCCTACCCAGCTGTCACCCCCCCTCCACACACATGCACACTTTGCTGCGGCTGCAAGAGCAGCCAAAGTCTTTAGGCTCCCTCTCCCTCCTCCAGCTTTCACTGGAGGGTGAGCCTGGGCACACACCAGCTTGTGGGGGAAGCGGGGTGGCCAGAGGCAGGTGGTGCAGCAGTGAAGGGGGCAGGGCTTGTATGGGTGTAATGCAGTGGTGAGGGGCGTGCAGAGGTGAGGGGGGCATCTGTGCAGTGGGGTGGGGGGGGGGCGTTCAGCCCTCAGCCGCTTACACGTTGGACGGCCCCGTTCTAGAGAGCAGCTCAGCAATGGTTAATTCTGGTTAAGGAGAAGCAGTTAAGTCGAGACGCACTGTTTTCTCTTGCTGTTGAAAACCTGTAGGTAGATATTTAAGCTGCAAAGTTTGCAATATGTTTTAAAAAGCAAAAACAGATTTTTTGGAATTACAAATACTTTCCAAATCTTCTCTGCGATGGCCCACACAATTTTAGTTTCTTGAACAAATTTCCTAATTTTCCTTTGCGGTTTATTAGCCAGTCTTTCTTATTTTCCCTGCCTTGAGACCTCAACTCAGAATTGTGACTCAGATATAATTGGTACTTGGGCTGCCTATTTATAGTTAAAGATTGGTTTAAATTGGCGAGGTTAAAAACATAACACGCAATTTTAAGCAATGAAGAGTAGATAGGCTTGGTGTAGAAATGTGGAAGATATTTTTTTCAGGGGTGAGGAGGAGATAAAGATACCAGAATTTGAATCTCTTCCTATGGATCACTTGTTCTTTTGAAGTGTAAATTGTAGCAGTATTTCTTAGAGCCACTTGTCAGAGAAACTATTTTGTTAACAGCAATTCAATGACATAATGGGAGAAACGTTTGCAAAGCATACATGCTCCTTTCAAGAAATAACAGCTGGTTTTGTGAGGGCAGAAAACTTGAAGCATTTAAAGGACCAAAAAAAAAAAAAGCCTGTAGTGAGATCAGAGATTTTTAAAAGATTGGACAAAAGGAAATTACTAATGAGAAGAGGGTGTAGAGAAGGGACCAAGCAGACACCTCACCTGCTTTATCCTTGGGAGTAGAGGGAATTCAAAGTTAGACTCCAGATGGTGAGCAAACCCTGAACCACGCAAACTTCTAGCCAATTTCCCTCAGCAACATTAATTTACAGTCTCATGAGAGAGCACCTTGGTTTTCTGCCAGTCCTGGCTAAAAGCATAATGATATGAGGACACGGTAGTGCCGTCAGCAATTCCTTCCAGGCCGGGCCAGAGCTGGGGCCACACCATCTGTGTGGTGAAATTAGACAGCTCAGACTGCTAGCCAGGCTGCGACCTAGAGGCACACAAAGGACTATGGGATTCATCTATGTTCAAAGTGCTCAGTGCAAAGTCTCTCTGTGTTTTCATTGTAGCGAGTACATGCTCTTCTCCACGGCCTGCCAGTATGCCACCGATGCCAGTCTGCGTATGTTCTACAAGCGGGGCTGCGAAAAATGTTGTTCAGGTTGTGTGGAAGGTTTTGCATTATTAGATGTTCATGCTGGATTGTCTGGCTGTGGGATTAAAAGTTTAATAGGGTGTAGCCAAAGACTGAACAGGTGAAAAAAAACAAAACACAAAACCCTACAACTTTTTACAAAGTTGTTCAATACTATGTTTTCCTAGTGATAATGCAGTGGGAATATTATGTTCATATAGGGAGGTGTGATGTACAAGAGCAGTGATCCATGATGGTTTCTCAAAGGGAGGATCACTCCTATTCCCTTGTGGGATATACAGCTTACTCTCCAAATGTCATAAAATTTTCAATGTATCACATTAAATTTTTGCCAGCTCTTTCCTGCCTGATAAGTTGTATCAGTTTTCATCTGAGATTCTCAAGGTCAGTGCCAAATTCGTATGAGAACATGGCTTTTCCTGAAGGGCACCAAGGACTCTTGTAGGGTGTTTTCTCTCGGCACCTCGAAAGACTGACCCCCAATGGAAGACAATGAGCGCTCTTATGTCGAGACATTGGTCAGCCTTTTAATTCTTTGTGTGTGATCTGTCAGTGTTGACAACCGAGTGGATCCGTGAGCATTCCCAGAAGTGGGAACAGCTTAGTTTTTACATTTTAGTTAATATAAGAGGGGGACAACCTTTTGCTTCCTTTGCAATGTCTGAAATAAGTTGTTTTAATAGTAAGCTGTGAACTGACTAGTTCTACTGAGCTTGAATGTTTAGGGTATTTTGTCGCTTTTTAATCCTGACTTCCCTTTCCAAGTGTATCAGTCTGCTCACTGGTATCTGAAGTTTCAAGAGCTGATTTCTGTTGCTTGCCCAGATGGACAGATCATCTTTCTGTACGGTCTACCTCCCAGTTTCTCCCAGTCCTTGGTCTGTCTGATAAGCAGCGAGCATGCACTTGCTGACAGGGAAGGGTGACACTCTCTGCTATGCAGAAGGCCAACACCAGTTTTATCTGCCACTTATGTTTACTGCTTATGTCCTTTAGTGGCACCCGTCGCTGATTTTGGCCCTTGCATAGGAGTAAATTTCATCCCTGTAAAATTTGTAGTCTTCCTCTTGATTGATTTCCAAGATAAGGGAAGAGAGAGGATTTACTCTTCAGAATTATAACTGTGGGTACTGAATAGGTTAAGAAGGTATAGGGGGGAAAATGGATGGAGGGAAAGAAGCATCTGCTGTACTCCTGGTGAAACAGATCCTTTTTGTGAGGAGCTGCTGAATCCTACGTACTCATGGGCAACTTTAGGGCAGGGAGAAAGACCAGTTTTGAAGCTGTAGCTCTAGGAGGTTTTTCTTTAGGCAAATCTTACTGTTGCATCATCAAGTTGATCAGGCAGTCAAAACCCAGTTTTGTTACCAGGTCTAAAACTTGGCAAGCCTTAAGTCAAATTCCTACTTCTCCTTCATCTTTTTTCCCCTCTTGAATGAGAAATTTCCACAATAATCTCTTCCCATATTAAAAGTATACTAGAACTGAGATACCTTTGAGGCCTCCTCTAACCTTTGTCTCCTACCTTTGAGTGGAGCAAATGCAAAAGCTGTGGTGACTCTCGGATTGTGAGAGATCTGCAGAAACCACTATTGGTATTGCTCCCTGTCTTGCAATTCTGTTTCCTCCAATACAGGAGCTAGTTCTGTGCTGCTGTTTCTGTGACTTACCTGCCTATATGTTCTGGCCGATGCTTCTTGCTCTCTGGAGGGTAGTATATCTGAACTGCACTCAAAGGAACTTGCAGGAACACACTTCCTGAACTATAGCTTTCAATTAGGAGTCACAGGAGTCTGCACAGCTGAATATAGGCTGCAAAACCTGCCTGAGAAGCTGCGTAAATGCTTAGGTGCATCTCATGGGTGTGGTAACAGGAAACAAGTGCAAACTGAAGGCCAACAAACTGTATCCTTTAAGCTGTGCAGTATCTAAATACGAGCTGGAGGCTAATAGTAATAGCAAGAAACCTGTAAGAAGAATAAAATCATGTGCTTTCTGCTCCCTTGCCTTGTTAAAACTTGCTAATATCCTTTCCTTTTGTACTAGGGGGATAAAGTAGCTCAAGCAGCAGTTAGCAATCTCAGTGCAGCTGCAGTAGGCAGAGAAGTAAAGGATGGCGCCAAAATATGAAACATGGATTCACCTACTTGCTGAGTTTGAGTAATCTCACTTAAGAACTAGTTTTGCAAATGCACAAACCCCAATATTGCAACGAACTCTCTGGTGGACAACTGTGCCTTCAGGGAGCTTTGCTAATATAGCAGGAGCTTGGTGTGAATATCGGTATCCACCCTAGTTTTGCCAATGTCAGTATTCAAAAAATCATGAAATTGGGTTCCCCAAATCTTTATTAATCATATTACCCTTGGACTTCAATTTTTTGTCTTCTGGCTTGTGGGACCTGAAGGTTCAAGTTCTGAAGCCATTCTATGCTACCATGAAGGCTAGGAACTCCTTCTTATAATGAAAGTTGAGGTGCTCATGCAGCTTTAAGACCATCATCAAATATATTGTCAGCGTTGTTTTAAAATGGAATGGGTTAGCAATGGTTTCACAGAACTCGCTGTAGGGAGGGCTGCATGAGTAGAACTATCATATGGTAAACTTTATATTCTATATTGCTTAATATATGCACAATATTTTTGGGATTAGAGAAAATTAAAATGTTTACCATCAAATCCTTAAAAAATACATAAGAAATAACTCACAGTGTGCTTTATTATTTCTTCACAATATTAACTAGACAGACATGTAACGTTGAATGGCAGCATGTTTTTATAACATTTTGAAGACACTGAACAATGAAATTATATTCAATAATAAAATGGCAAACTACTTACATACATCATCCAAGATAATGGATAAAGTATACCTGTTTATGTACAACAATGCTGGTGATAATTAGAATTCAAATATTCAGAAGGAAAAGAAAAATATGCTATTTAAATTATAAAAATATAGTTTAATTTTTGTGGTATTTTTAATACTCTATAACCTGGTGGAAACAATTTTATTCTAGGATGAAGCTTCCTTCCTTCCTTCCTTTTTGCTTCGTTTTGTCTGAGAGAGGAATATAACACACACCTGAACTTTACTGGTAGCAGAGAATTTTTATACCCCTATACAGCAAAACATGTTGAACATTTTGTATACAGAATTGAGAGTTGTTAATTTATAATGTGATCCGTTTTGCTACTTCATAAAATAAAATAATTTAGTAAATGAGGCCCTATATTTTACCATGCTTTTTATCAGTAGGCCTGTAGAATTTATGTAGATGCACAGCCAAACACAATGTCATGCTTTAAGGCCAAATCCGACAGTCCTACAGGCAGGGCCATGCCTCCGGTACGGCTAATCGGGGCGAGTGCCCTGCACCCCACAGAGCCAGGCGAAGCAACCACAGCCTCTCCTGCAGGGCTCTGCCCCATACTGTGGGGGAGACCCCAGCCCCTACCCTGCCTTTGCGGTGGTCCCATGGGCCCTACACAGTGTTCAGGGGGCCCCACACAGGCTGATTTGTCCCAAGACCCACACCCGCTAGGGCTGTCCCTGTCTACTGGGTCTGTGGTCACAGAATTTCTTATCACAGCTCCATCTGGACGCATGCCAAAGGCACAAATCAGCCCAGCTGTAAATGAGTCTGGGGATTCAAAGGTGGCCAGATGTGTTGCTGACCATATCACCCCCTTATGTGCTGTTGGCTACAGAAAATGATGTACCTTAACCACACTTAACCCAGTGGGCCACTAGGTCCACAGAGAATTTTATCTTTTTTGATACAATCCTTAAGCATACTTAACTCCCACAGAAATGGTATGTGTAAACGCACATGTGTGCAAAGAGTTACAAGTCTTGAGTCTGTAATTTTCAAGTTACAGCACCCCAAACTGACCTTCACACAAAGCATTTTGTTCCCAAAGGAATTATTTAATAGTTATTCTCTGTTACCTTTACGACAGCTCTGAAGGCTGCAGTGTCACAGTTCACAACAGAAAACAAGCAAACTATTAAAATAATGGTTACAATTATGCACTAATGATATACAGGTGAGTAGATGGTTATGGCTGAAAGTTACTCCTCAGAGCGTCTTAGCTAAGCTGCTGCATCAGATATGATGCAGGATTTTCGAACGAATAATGCTCGCCTGACTTCCACTCCCCAATCCAGCAACTTCAGTTACTACAGAAGACACGTTGTTCCATGTTGAGTCAGACACCCAAACTATTTTGAGAAATGTCCTTTCCATCCGATCTGGCTCTTTAATAACCAGTTTGGGGCTACTGTTTCCTGTTCGCGTTGAGCTGTAGATTTAACTCGATAATTCAGATGATCTTCTGATGTTTTCCTTTCTTTAAAAAAAAAAAAAAATTACAATTCCTGTTTTTATTTTATTTTTTAAAATAAACGGAACAGGAAATAAATGTGTCGTAGGAGCATCAAATGTGACACTTATGTTTCTACCCAAATCATTAAAAATCTTCTGCCTTGCAGATGACTGCTGTTGGAAGTAACAGATTTTCAGTGAAGAGTAAATTCTGGGCTTCTTGTAATCTCTTGCTTTGCTTGTCTTCATGTCATTCTCCTTATCTAGAGGAATGGGGGGGTCAAATCCCTTATATATTACTATCTTTAATCACGGTGCTGTTTCAATGATCTATCATCTCTCTTCACTATTTAACTTCTTTTGTAACCCCCGTCATCCCTGCCAAACAACTTTAGAATTGCATCTATTTGACATTTTTGCTTCTGTTTATGGCTTCACCACTCAGTTTGATCCATCGAGGGGAAAAGGGGGGTTTAACTGAAATGAATATCTTGAAGGCCCTGCATTTTTGTGGAAAAATGTCTGGTTTTATTTTGTAACAAAGAAAGTGGAAAAGCTGGAATCATTGTAAAATAAATGGGGTTGGGAGGGGGAAATTTTAAATGAGTTCAAGCTATTATATACATTCAATGTTTCTAATATGTTTATTAATATAAATGCATCATCAACTATCATTATAGCTAATGCAGCCACAATACTGTACAATTCTGCAGTCAGCGTGGGAAAGCTTTATTATTTGTTTAAAAGAATAAAACCATTCAGTCATCTTAACTTTATTTTTCTGCTTGCTATTAACTAGTACACTGGGCACTCCAGTGAATAGACGCGATAGAACACAAATCGGCAGTATTTACGTAAATGTCAGAAATGTGTCTACTTCATATTATTTCTAAAGCAGCTTAAAAATCTTGCTAATAGAGAGTATTACAAAATAAACCCCATTCAAATTATCTGGGTACTATAGCAGCACAGGAACTTATAGTTACTCTTTTTATATTTTTGACACTGTAAACCTTTAACAAAATAAACAATTCAATATTGAAAAAGTTTGAGGTCAAATAAGCCATTAACTTTGACAGGGGTTATGGGCTCAAATTGAAATGAAGGCTGGATTGTGAAATGAAGACTCAAATGTTAGCACAGTGCCAGACAATTCTAGTTCAGCTTTGCAACTGGCTTTATATAACTTAAACTTGATAGCAGAAAAAACAAAGCCCACACTCAATACACAAGTGGTTCCCTATTATTTTAAATATTTTCATAAGTATCCTGCACAAATGCATCTAGTTTTGACAGGAGCTCTATTAAATAATATTTCAGGCAGTTCTATTTTTAACTCGGCAAAGTTTAGATCTCATTTTCTATAGAAACATGAACTTCATTAAATGTTTCTATAAATTAAAATGTTTCAAATATGAAAACTAAAGCTCATTCCATCTTTGCCCATAAAAAGTGTAGGTGCCATGACTAAATAGCAATAAAAATGCTGAGATGCACAAATCTAAACAAAAAAGCAGCTTTGAAGACATGACATCAACTATAGCCTTAACAATGAACATATTACATTCCCAAGTTACTAGAGCTATTTTGCATATAATGCCACAAAGTTATTCCATTGAAATGTCGAGTTTTTCCACTCTGTTTCATTCTGTTTTTTTTCACACAGTTTTTTCATTCTTTTTCCCCTCTTAAAGTACTTGTAAATTGTTAAAAGTTCTTTGATGCAGAACTTTTTAATTTTCTTCCCTTCCTGGATGTACAGATATTGACAGATCTCATGTTCTGAAAGATCAACAGCTAAAAATAAAAAAGAAAATACTTGACTTGAAGGTTTTAAAGTGGACATTCACATAAATCCAAACAGTCCATGATTCCTACTTCTGATTTTATTTATTTATTGTTTGAACTTTTGATCCTTCCAAAAGCTTGTAAAAGCCATAGTTTAAACTCTGTTGACAGGTCTCAGTTGTTTAGTTCTGGAATTCATGCCGCCATAAAGCTGTATAAGAAGCATACTGCATTAATCTTATTTAAATTGTATTTATGGCATGGAGAGAGAATTCAGACCCTCTTTTCCCCACCCTATTTTCTCTTGAAATGACAATAGGCACCTAAGGAATTTGGTTGTCAGTGAGCCTTTGTCTGTACTGAGGATCTGGAAATGTTCTTCATTCTCTGCTTTTGTGTAGACAGTCCTATGAAATTATTAGCATGGCATAACTTTAGGTGGGGAGGTAAGAATAATGCTTGTTTTGTTTGTTTGTTTGTTATGAAAATTAACTTGATTTTGGTGTCCAGTTTGATAAACATGGCTAGTTGGAGCTAATCTGTAACTCAGATGACATCTATTTCTTGCCAAATAAGATTTTAAATCTTTTTCAACCTCCAGGGACTTCAAGACTAAACTTAATTGGCTTCAAAGACTTGAGAAGCTCAGTAAATGGGACTGGTTACAGAGATGAGCCCATGAAAATAGGATGCAGGTCAGGAACTTCGGACTCCAGCTCTGCTCTGTAAAAGCAGGCACTTATGGTCTCCTGATGTTTCTGTATGGGTAGCTGCAAAGACATGTTACTGCTCAGGAAATCATTAAAACAGTAACTTCCTTTGAGTCCAAAGGATTTAATTTCATGCTTCTATAAAGAGATGTTAAGTTGACATATCCTTCTTTTAAGGTATCAGATGATAGTGTGGTGATTATGGCAAGATGGCAAAATTTGTAGGTTAAAACACATTTTCGTGCAATCAAACTTCATGCTGTTGTCCTGTAGAGAATTATCCTATGGACAACATCCTTCAAGAAGTTGCCACTTTGACTCCAAGTATGTACCATACTGAACCAGATACTAATGTCAGTCCATGGCAGCAGGAAATAATTCTACATCCATTCACTCTGGGCTTTTTAGGACTGCCCTCCACCATACAAGAGAATGTAAGCAAAACCAACACCATTACACAGCTTTCAGCAGCTCAAGAAACTGCCTCTCCAAGTGTGAGCAGGTAGGTCTTTGTCAGTATATATATTCTTCAAAGAAAATAATCCATTCAGGTGCTTGAATTAAAAAAAAAAAAAAGCTAAGTCTTTAGGGCTAATTAAAATACATAACATCATCATGTGCTACTTGGATATAACTTGTAGGGCTTATGAAAATAGCAGGTTAAATGTAAATATCTTTAATAAATATTTTCCTGCAATGTAAAAATAAATGATATTCCCTTTGGCAGTAATAGCTGATTTAATAATTAGCCAGGAAGTTATTCTTCTCATAAAATAGCATTGTGCCACAGAAAACAAAAGTCGTATTATTTTACTGTTTGTAAGACTTTTGTAATCCATGATGAACCGGTCAACTTCACTTATGTCCTAGATAAGCGCCAAGAGTGATGCAGGCTCCCACCAGAACCAGACTTAAGATAGTTTTCCAGGAGATCCAGGAGAAGTCGATCAAAGGTCTCATGTTGTTACCATACAATTCCACGAAGGCGTCCTGCATTGGGAGGAAAACACAAGTCAGAATTGTAGCAGTATGTTATGGAGATGACAAAATTATTTCCTCTGTAAACCAGACTGACCAATGAAAAACACCCATTTCACAGACACTCAGAGCAGCAAAAGAAACCTTCAAGATGGAGTCCTGACATACATGCAGATAATTTGGCACCAACTCCAGGGGACAAAACAAAATTGTAGTTTTAAGACCATCTTTTCACATGATGTGTGGCACAAATAAAGTCCTGTTGCTGTTGCAATACTACAAACAGCAGCTAAGGTCTGGCAAACAGCCTCCTGAAAATAAGTGTTAGGTCATGAATTAGAACAATAGAAGGGGAAAGGACCTACAGCGTAGACTGCATGCAATTACAGTAAAGCTTTCAATTATGCTGCGCATTTCATGACAGAGATCGATGTTACAGGCTTTGATATCTTTTTCACCAGATATCATTTAGGGTAATAGGAAAATAGGGCTGGAAGAGACCTCATAGAGACACCTAGTCCAGCCTCCTGCTCAAGGTAGGATCATCCCTGACTAAACCATCCCAGCCAAGTGTCTGTCTAATGTACTTTAGAAAGTTTTCAAGGATGGAGATTCCACAGCTTCTTTAGGTAGCCTGTTCCAATGCCTGACCACCCTTGTAGTCAGAAAGTTCCTCCTGATCTCCACCCTAAATTTACTCTGCTGCAGTTTGCTGCCATTGTTCCTAGTCCTATTCCCTACAGTCACAGAAAAAAACCATCTCCATTCTTTATATAGTCATCCTTCAGGTATTTGAAGACTTTTATCAAATCCCCCATGAGTCTTCTCTTCTCCAGGTTAAATAACCCTAATTCTGTCAGCCCTTCCTCATAAGTTTTGTCTCCCAGGCCCCTGCCCTGAGTTTTGTCTCTCCAAACTGCCCACAGCCTTCTTGAAGTGTGGGGCCCAAAACTGGACACAGCACTCCAAATGAGGCCTCACCAGTGCTAAATAGAGTGGAAAATTCACTCCCTTTGATTTGCAAGTGACACTCCTGTCAATACAACCTAGGATGCTATTGGCTTTTTTGGCAACAAGGGCACACTGTTGGCTCATATTCAGCTTATGGTCCATTGTAACCCCCAGGTCCCTCTCTGGAGTAATGCAGCCTGGTCTCTCATTCCTGAGTCTACATTTGTGCGTACAATTATTCCATCCAAAGTACAGGATTTTGCACTTGTCCTTGTTCAATATCCTCTCGCTGATGGCTACTGTCAGTCAGAACTGAAAGGCTTTCCTTTGCCACAAGAGGGCATGTGAGGTGTTTGCATCTTCCTGTTCAAGCTCCTGTTCCATGGAAGCTGCTGAAGTATTTCAATGTAGAAAATATTATTTTACTTCCACAATTTTTCTTTACAATAAGATATATTGAACCAAATCCAGCAGCTGAGACAAAGACAGAAGTCGCATTGATTTCAGTGTGTAGTTTGCTTGAATAAAGTCTGAAATGTTCGGCTTGTAGAGTGGTTATCTGCAAATGCATTCTCCCTATATTATTTTTCAATATTTATTCCTTTCGTCTAATATTTTCAAATTTGGGTTTCTGAAGTTGTGTGTTGAAACCTATATATGAGAGCTTCAAAAAGTGGTTTGATTTTTTCAGTCAAAGCTGTGGCCATTGAAGAAATTTGGTACCTTAGTTTGAACACATTAGCCCTACATTTTGCTTTGTTGTTACTGAGGGCTTTGGGGTAGGCAGAAGGTAAAACACATTTGTTATTTTTTTCCCCAAAAAAGCTGCTTCTGTTTTTTCCATAGGCCCGTGAAGTAACACAGTGTATACCATAGGCTGTGTATAGACTTCAGCCAGGAGATTTTTTCTTTGGAGAGTTCAAGATCAGGCCTTATAAAACAGAGCCAGGAAAGAGTTCAGGACACAACAACAGAACTATGGGGAAAACTAGAGAGAGAAACAATTGGCACAAAACCTTTTAATGTAAAGCTTTGATGATGTTTTCCTATGGATGTGATCTGACTCTTATGCATTAGTGGCAGCAGAAACATGACCTATATCAGTATCAAACAGACTTGTTCCTCCCGTTCACAATTTAGGAATGCTTCGTCCAATATATTACAGAGATTGTTTCTACTACCACAAAACAGCTTGTGGTGCTATCATCTTAATACTATGAAAAAGCATGGCATAATTTGTGGCTGAAGAAGAGGAATGGAGAGAGATAGTTACCCATGTTAGCCTGAAGTGAGGCAGAAGGCAGGGTAGATAGATATGCACCTTACAGATTTACTAAGTATAAGATATTTTGGGTGTGTCTACATGAGACACTTTAAGGCATATTAGCCTAAATTTAAGGTGCATTACGGCGCATGTCTACATGCATGTGCCCTTAATGTGCTTTAAAAATGGTGATTTTGGGCTAACTGTGCCTAAATGTGATCCCTGCAAAAGCAGGGATCAAATTTAGGCGCAAATAGTTAACGCGCATTAACCCATGTGTAGACGCATTACAGCACACTAACGCTGTGTGTGTGGACTGACTTGTGACTAACTTAAATCCCAAGTTAGTCCACACACACCATTAATGCGCTTTAATGCCTGCACATGTAGAGGCCTGCCTAAAGCTGCTTAGTGTGCATTAAGTTAATGCGCATTAAATTTAGGCATGCTTAAATGCACATGTAGACATGCCCATATAGAGCATAAGCTTTCACGAAGTTGAGCTCACTTCATCAGAAGTGGTGAAAGGACAGCGCAGAGCAGTGTATAAAGTAGAGTGAGTGATTTGATTCCAGAAGAGGAATGTCAGCAGAAACACACAGCATGACTTACTTGTTCATATTGAGACTATTACAACAATAACATGAACCCAACCTAATGGTGTCTGCACTCTGTTACAAGTAGCTCTTTATGGGTGCTGCTTTTTTTTTCTTTTTCTTGCTTTTGCTTTCTCAAACATCCTGATTAGGCCTATTTCCGAAGCTTGTTTGAACAGCCTGTCACTATTTGTTTAAGTTTCAAACCTGTTTTAAATAAACACATGGTCTTTTTATGAATTGAAACAACGAAGGTGCTGGGGGGGGGCAGTGCAGAGGGGACCCACTGTTGAAAACTATTTTTAATGCCAAGGGAACCCTAACTATATGTTGAATGTTCAGAAACTGCATCTCCTTCTCTGCATGTTTACTATACTTGTAACTGGGTTTTTAATTTAAAATTGATCGTTTTAAAATAAGGGCTATATTGAGTTTTTTAGCACAGATATGGCTAGAACTGTTTGCTGTCCGTTTGAGAAGCACTCTTCACAGTAAAAACACACAGGCCTAGACTGTTCTGTACAGGTCATGCTTAATGAAATGTCCTGTACAATTAAACAGAGAATAGCAACTCTTCTGCAGAATTTTGTTTTAAAGCCATCCTATACAACTTAATAGAAAATACCATCCACACTACAGAATTCTATAGAAGGGAACTCATCCTCTATAAAACCCTATAGATTTTTTAGAAGTAATTTCTATAGAATCCTGTTTCACTTCTATTAATACAAAGCCCAAACCTTTTTAGTTTCCGGCAGAATTTACCACACTACTCTTTTCTGGAAAGGAAGGGAAGGGAAGAAATCTCCACACCGTCACTCTGCTCTGGCTGGTAGATCTCTGGGGTATTCTGCAAGCCAGCACCAAACTTTCCAAGCTGCCAGCTGTCTGTGCAGCCAGTTTCTGGGGGTACCCCATGACAGTTCTGTTTCCCCTTTACATGGGGTGGAGACAGAATCTGTTTCACAATAAACAGCTCTTTCATTCACCACATATTTGTTACTTAAGAATTTGTAACATTATTGTACATTTCTTTAGGCTCATTACCATCGCTACACAACCTGCATCCTTGATTGGGAGGCTGCGCACAGCTTCTATGCTGTACTTCCCATATACTGTGCCCAGTGACACATTGTTAACACAAGTGCCCTTCATTAAAAATTAAAAAGGGAAAACCAGGTTCAGCGATGTGCTCTGCATTTATTAGTGAGGGGGTGGCGGGCAGAGTAACCATGAGGAAGTTAAAGACTTCCTTTTTTTTTTTTTCTCTACCTGATTAAAACAGCTGTTGAGGAAGTGACTTTATTTCCCTCGTTATCACTGACAGGATATCCTCTTGAGCTATACTGTACTGAATGAAGAGCCTGTGAGGCTTCCATTTTGCTGAAATGCAATCGGCTGGTAGCTATTTTACGCTGCCCTCTCTGTGACTCTGAATGCAAACAAACAAACAACACATTACCTCCAGGCTTTTGAAGACAGTTTGCCTGGAGTTGAATGACACAGCGTTATTGTCTGGACAGAACAACAGGGAAACAAGCCAAAAGCTAGCAGCTGAATGACTTTCCCCTCCTTCCCTGTCTTTCATTCATATCAAATTCTCATAAATGATCTCTTTCCTGAATAGCAATTCATTTCAGGAGTGGTTTGGAGAAGGGAATGTGCATGGAGTTGGTTAAATCAGCCTGTGTTTTATACAATGAAACCTCATTAAAATGTCACCCTGCAAATAAAAAGAAAGGTTCTGGAATGTGAAAAGTAGACAAATCTATAGCTGTGTTGTTGTGAGGTTCCCCCCCCAAGTCTGTGGATTTTAATGCAAATATAGAATGATATGCAAATAAAGACAGCTCAGCCCTACACCGCACTGTGCCAGGGTGTGGTGTTCCATGGTTGTGATGTTTGCAAAGGCAGGTATTTTTATACCTGGAACACTGAAATGTTGGCAGTCAGTAAGGAGCACTTTCAATTCAAACTGTAAAGCAGCAGAATGTCTATCAGTGCAATCTGCATTGATCACTAGTAGTCAACCCGCTGGGGAGTGGCTTTGTGTACCCTGAATTTGCAATTCTGGTGCATGCCTCCATCCAACACATCAAACACCAAGGTAAATAGTTTTCATTCTCCTTTTTCTCCAAGGCTAGGGACAGACATTACACATAACCCAGTTTAAGCGATCAGAAATGGGTTTAAACCTGTAA